GGAGCGCGGGAAGCAGGAGCCCAGCTGCGCAGACAAAGCTCTGGTTTGGAGCCGCGGCTCAGGATCGGCGTGTTCCTGTCCGGCACGCTGCCCTGGGGGGCCTCTGGCTCTGGATGGGGGGGGGTCTCAGCTTGGCATGGCCCCCCGGGGAGCTCGCAGGCAGTCCAGTCCAGAGCCGCGTGCCGAGGAATGAGCCGCACCCCCAGGAGCCCCCACCCTCCTGCTTGAGGGGGGGCGGCTCTGGGCCTGTCGCCCAGGGGAGATACGGAGACACGCCCTGTTCTCCCCCCCTCACCTGACTCGTCCACCACGGGCAGGGCGGAGACGCGGTGCTGCACGAAGATGCCCAACGCCATGTAGAGCGGCGTGTTGGGGTGCACCAGGGCGATGTTGGCGTAGGTGCCGATCTTCAGCTGCTCCAGGGTTTTGGCCATGAATTCCGGCTTCGGGACCTCCGTTATCTGCGGGGAATACGAGGGGGGTGTCACGGTGGGGAGGGGCGGGGGGGACCCCTGCAGCCAGCGGAGAGCGGAGCTAACCACCTTCTCGGCCCGACGGCAGGGGCTGGGCAGCACCGCCTCGGGCCGAGCGGGGCAGATGCAGCTGTTCCTTGGCGCCGGGTGGGGGCGTCCGGCCTGCCGTCCACATGGCAGCTGGGGCGGGGCGTGTTCCCGCCGTGGGTCGGCCGGACGGGCCGGGCCGGGCGCCTGAGCCCGGGCAGGGCGCCTGAGCCCGGGCAGCAAGTGGGCGGATTACGCCGCCCCCACCCCGAGGCCCCACAGGGACCCCGGCGGGCAGAACTTACAAACAGCTTGAGGAACTTGAGGATGCGTTTGTGCGTGAGGATGTAGAGGGTGTTCCCCGAGTCCGGGTCGATGACGGGCAGCCGGTGGATCTTGTTCTGGATCAGCGAGGAGACGGCGTCGAAGAGGCTGCGAGACAGACGGGGGCGGGGTAGACAGGCGCCCCGAGCAGGGGCAGAGCCCCCCGGACTCCTGGGTTCTCCTCCCGGCGAGGGTGGGGAAGGCCAGTGGCTGGTGCAGGACTCCTGGGCTCTCTCGGCAGCCCCAGAGCCTGTGACCAGAGCGGCCCAGCCCCCACAGAACATGGGGTCCCCCCGCACAGGGTCTTGGGCCAGGCCTGGGCTGTCGGGCGCTAGGGCGATGCAGGTAAATAGTCCCCCACCGCCCCCTTTCCCAGAGGGCACGGGGAGCCCCCAGCAGCTGAGCTCTTACCTGGCATTGGGGGAGATGCAGACCAGCGGTTTGAAGGAGTCTTGCAGATACACCTCTGTGGGGGAGAGGAGACGCACTCAGCGAGACACCGAGCGGGGCTCACAGCGCAGGCTGGGGCCCAGCCAAGGGAGGGGGGCACCGTGGGGCCTGGGGCAGCTTTTGGCTCCGGTCGGAGACAGTCCAGCTCTGCCCTTGGCACAGGGGGTTCTGCAGAGCCCAGGGGATCCCAGCCCCCCACCCTTGGCACGGTGCCCCTCAGCTCCCCCCGCCTGGCACCACTGCACCTCCTCCACACAGTGCTCCCCATCTCCTTCATCCTCACCCCCCAAACACTCCTCCCAACCCCCAAACACCCCGCTCCCGCCCCCCCAAACACCCTGCCCCCACACCCGCCCAAACACCCCGCCTCCCCTTACCTCGCCACGTTTCAATTTTATGCTCCTCCAGCTCGTAGATTTGAACCTAGACGCCAGGGGGAGGGGAGTTAGCCTCAGTCATCTCAGCAGTCGGCCCGAGCGCGGCTTGGGGGCTGCATCCCGGGGGGGGGGGGGGGCAGAGACCCCAGCACTAACACGCCCAGCGGGGCCAGATGCCCAGGAACAAGGGGCATGACCCTGGTGGTGGTGGGGCCATTGCTGGGGGCTCGGTTATAACTCTCAGCCCCACGGGAACGAAACTGGCCGGGGCCGGGGCCCATGCATCCCCATGGAGCCAGGGCGGGTACCCATCTCTGGCGCCGGGGGTGCGTATGCCCATCCTTACCATGGCCGACTTGTAGTAGCGATGGAGGATGTTGATGAAGTCAGTGATGGTCAGCATCCCTGGAGGGGAGAGGACAAGTGAGCGGGGCAAGGAGCCTCCGGGCAGCCCGATCCCCAGGGTCCTTCTGGCCCCCAGCGCGCCCCTCGCCCTGACCCCGACTTACCCACAAAGCTTTGCTTCTTGCTGTCCCAGAGCGGGGCGGCCCGCACGCCGTTGGTGACCAGCGCGAAGAAGGCTTTCTTCACCTGCAGCCCAACACGGACGCATGTCAGACCGGGGGGTGGGGGGGCAGTGCTGGTCAGAGCTCCCGGGGGTGGGGGGCAGGGGAGGTTGTGGGAATGGGGCACCTGTGCAGCCAGGGGGCTGGAGCAGCCAGCACTGGGGGCCGTGCCCAGGGAAGCCAGTCTCGGGGCCTCCTGCCCCCCGGGGTGAGCCCATCTGTGCCGTGGGGGACCCACCCTGGGGTGTGGGCACACACGTAGCCAGCGCCAGTCTAGTGCGCACCCCGCGGAGCACCCACCTGCAGGGAGGTGTCGAAGACGACCAGCTTGGAGCTGGTGGGGATCAGGTCATAGCAGCGATGGGACTTCATGAAGCAGGAGTACACCCCGCTGCTGGGCTCCACGTCTGGGGGGAGAAGGCGCCGTCACGGGGCTGGGGGCGGGGAGCGCAGGGGCCTGCTCTGGCTGTGCCCCCAGGGTGTGTGTTGGGGGGAAGAGCCGGCAGTGCAGAGGGGAAGGTCTGGGGGGTCATGGGAGTCCTGTTCCCGGGAGCAGCTCTTGCTCCCAGTCTGGGCGCATGCCCCCTCCCCTGCATGGCCCCTGCAGCCCGTGCCCAGCTCAGGCTCCCCCAGCACTGGGCGCCGCGCGGCGAGGGAGCCGCGAGGACAGGCTGAAACCCTGGGGAAGAGGAGCCGGGGGGCTGAGAACTGGGTCGGGGCTGGCAGAGGAGGGTGATAAATCGTTCTCCGTCCCGGGAGGCTGGACAAACCCCTGCTAGGGCTGGCCTAGCTAACACAGCGCAGGGGACTGGACCGACACCCCTTCCTGTCTGAGGCACCGGGCGGCCCCGGCCCAGCCCTCACCTTCCGGCGCCAGGGGGCACTTCTCAGCAACGCTCTCCGGAACCGGGCCCTGCAGACAGACAGAAATCAGAGACTCCCTGGCCACCCACAGCGCTGTGCCCCCCATCCCGAGACGAGACCGGCCCCCAGAGCAGAGCACCTGCTGGGAAGAGGAGAAGCCACAGGGGACATTGGATATAAGACGGGCGGCTCTCCCGCCCCATAACACGGACTCACTGCTTTGGGAAAGGACCATGGCAGCCCGGCTGCTGCAGGCACCCCCCCCCCCCCCCCCCCCCCCCCGGCACCCCCCCCCCCCGCCCCTGCCCCTGCGGGCACTCCCCCCCCGCCCCGCAGGTAACCCCCTCTCCACTCTGCAGGCAACCCCCCCCACACACACATACAGCAGGCACCCCCCCGCCCTGCGGGTAACCCCCCCCGGCCCTGCTCCTGTGGGCAACCCCCACCCCATAGAGTGGGCACCCCCCCGGCCTGGCTCCCGCAGGCAACCCCACACACACAGCGGGCACCCCCCCCCCGCCCCCCCCCTGCGGGTAACTCCCTCCCCACTCTGCGGACCACCCCTCACTCCCCGGCAGCACCTTAAAAAACCTCTTTAAGAAATCATTTGTAAAGTCCCCCCGCCCCACACGCAGCTGCGCTGTGCCCCTCTCTCTGCGCTGTGCCCGGGGCTGCCCGCCCCACGGTGCGCACGAGGCAGGGCAGCGGGTTTCCTTCCCCTGCCCATTCCCAGGGGAAGTCCCACCCCACCCAGCCAGTCTCCCGCCGGCCCCAGCAGCGATGCCTGGGCCCAGCTGAGCAGGGAAGTGACTTGCCCACAGTGAGGCAGAGCCGGGTGAGAAAAGAACCCAGGAGTCCTGGCTCCCAGCCCCTGCTCTAACCCGCTCCTTCCCTAGTGCAAATCATGAGCAGCGCTGAGTTTCTACGTGGGGCGGCTGGGGCCATAACCACCCGTCAAGCTGCAAGGCCGCCTCCGCCAGGGAGCTGCCGAGAGGAAGCGAAAGCCAAGCCGCACTTTTCACTTTCCTTTTCAGAGAGGGAACCTGGCTCTGGCCCAGGGCTGGCCTGGCTCTCGAGGAAGCTCCGGCTGCTACGAGGGAGCGACCACTTCTCTTTCATCTCAACTTCTCTCAGCGCGCGTCGCAAACTGCACCCGCCTCCGACAGGCAGCCACCTCTGTGGCAGAGCCCGGCAGCTGGTTACCCGCACGCAGCAACACTGCCCCAGTGCTCGGGACAGGGAGGGAGAATCCTGCCCCCAGCTCAGGAACAGAAGGGGCGATGGAGGGGGCAGAGAGGCCCCAGCCGGCGTGTGCCCAGGACACAAGCCTAGCACCTTGACAGACCCTGGTGGCCACGCCGGGCCGTTCGATGAACCATCGCGGCAGAGGGAGCCTGAGAGCCAGCCGGCCAAGGTGTGGGGCCAGTCCCAGATCCAGCCTCATCCCAGCATGGAGACCACGGGGACATTTCTCCCGCAGGAACCAGGCTGAGTCCCCGCAGCTCATCCCACCACGGCCACTGCCACCAGGCCTGGCACCCCAACCACAATCCCACTAAACCCCCAGGGACGGTGGCCTGGCTGGACTCCCCAACAGCCCTAATCTGGGGGCTCTGTCCCTTTAGGCCGGGCATCCTGCAGCCTGCCTGAAACGCTGACAGCACTGGCCCGCGGGCGCTGCCCCAGCACCCAGATTCAGCAACACCCCCCGGCCTCTCTGCTGCAGAGAAGCATGGCCGCGGGGCGCATGGGGGAGCCTGGCCTGGCCAGTTACAAGGTGCTCCCCCAGCACATCCCAGGGGACAGGACTGCCCCATGCAGGCAGGTCTGTGCCTAGAGCCAAGCAGCAGGGCTGGGAGCAAATACCACCCGGTCCTCTGGCCTCCAACCTCCACTGGCTGCCCTGGGCGGGGATTTCAACCCCTCGGGCGCTCACAGAGCAGGTGGGCAGGGACCGCAGCCAGCCAAGCCCTGAACGCTATTTCCAGGCCAAGAGCCCCCAGAGCCTGGCAGACCCCCTTCCAGGCTGCAGCATGCATCAGTGTCTCGGCTGGGGCAGCGAGGGAGCTGGCCGGAGACACACCAGAGTCCCCAGACCGGGGCTCAGCACAGCAAAGGCCCGGGAGGAGGAAATGGGGGATCTGGGTGCAGGCCGGGCTGGGCACGGAGCTCACACCGCCGAGCTGGAAGGTAACAGAGCCCTGGGGTGCGGGATGCCCTCCAGAGGAGCAGCCCCCTGCCTGCGCACAGCCCAGAGGAATCCATGCCCAGGCCGTGGGTCTGGGCTGTAGCCCCAGAGAGGGGCCCCCCAGCTCCCTGGCAGGGCTACGCGGGCGCAGGCAGGCAGAGCTGGAGCCATGGGACAGAGAGAGCTCCCAGGATATAAATAAGAAACGGGCTTTGGGCAGGAAAGGTCACTGCTCACGCGCCAGGGAGAGGAGGCCGCAGGCCAGGCTAGCAGGGGGCACCCAGCTGGTCAGGGCGCCATCGGGCCACAGAGAAAGCCCTGCTCACCTGCCACCTCCTCTGGGAAAACCATCTTCCAGGTGACCTGGCCCCGGGCCAGCCTGACTCTCGGGTTGGTGCCGACGAGGGACACGGGGTGCCCCTCGCCCGGGCGCGGCGCCGGAGCTGGCCTGGCCCGGGGCATTGGGCGTTTCGCTCTCGCCCCCCAGCCCCGTCTGGCTCTGTTCCCGCTGGCGCGGCCTGTCCAGGGCATCGGGTGCCCGGGCTCGGTGCAGGCGCCGTTGGGGGCTCACGCCAGGGTCTGGGCCCGGAGCAGGCGGGAGACACCGGGGGGGGGGGCAGGTTTGCACCCCGAGGAGCAGCATCGACCGACGCCGGGCACCGCACCTGGCACCCGGAGAATCGCTGCCCGGGGGGCCCCCCCACCTGCTGGGGGTCTCTGCTCCAGGGCCCCCTCCCGTTATAGGGGACCCCACAGCCACCCCCACTGCACGGGGAGTTAATGGGGGTGACGCATCCCCGGGGGGGCCAGTCTCTGGGGCACCAGCCAGAGGGGAGAAAGGGGGGGCCCGATCCGGGGGGGCAAGGGGCCCGATCCGGGGGGGCGGGGGGCCCGCCGGGGGGGCCGGGGGGCGCGGGGCCCGATCCGGGGGGGGCTCCCCACGCGGACCGACGGGGGATGCCGCTCCGGGGACCTCCCCCGTTCCCGGGGCCCCGGCCGGGCTCTTACCGCCTCCATGGCCGCGGCTCGTCTCGCTGCCGCCGAGCACCCGGGGGCAGCAGCGGGCGGGGCCGGGGCCGGAGCCGGGGCCGCTTCACTTCCGCCCGGATCTACTTCAGCCGCTTCCGCCAGCAGAGGTCATGTGACCGGAAGTAGACGCGAGAAGGACCCCGGCTGATACAATAACCCCTGAACCCAGTGACCTTTGACCCCCCCGCGGAGCCTGCACGTCCCCTCCGGTTATTAGAAAGGGGGGGGGGGGGGCGTTCCACGCTCGGTCTCTGCTCTAAGCCGAGCGAAGGAGGCGCTGGGCCCGCGGAACTCCCCGCCACCAGACCCGGGCGCGCGGCCTGCACCGGCCCCCGGGCTGCAGGGACCCGCTCCCCGGCAGCCGGGCGCCCCTGCACCCCGGGCCCAGGCACCGGCTCCTGCCCCGCCTTGTCCCTGCGGCGCCTGAGCTGGGACCCGGAGCTGCCTTTACACTGGGGGGGGGAGACCCGGGACCCCCCCAAAAAACCCACACGCGGAAGTCCAGGATCACCCAGTATTTAAAATGCACTTTTATTTTTTTCCTTTAAAAACAAACTCAGAGAAGCAAACTTTGAACCTCGCTCTCTGCCTCTGGGAACATAAATTATCTACATCAGAATTATATCCAATACAAAACATGCCACAGACAAGTTCAGCTTCGTTTTTCTTAAAAAAGGAATCATTTTACCACCCCCCCCCCCCCTCTTTTCTTTGTGCCGAAAGACAACCTCGCTGTACCACACACAAAATAAACCCCCAAACACCAAGGAAGATTCCTCACAGAGTCCACGCTTGCCGTAGTTTTATTTTAAACTTTATTTTTTTTAAAAAACCCAACAAAATAATAAATGGTTATTTCAGGATCATAAAAGGTAAAACTTAAAATATAATATCTGCAACTGTAAACAAACAGAAGTATTGGACAAGGCTTTGAATGCGAATTTACAAGCAGAGAACTTTTAAAAAAAAAAAATCAAAGGTCAGCTCTGGGACTGGATTATAGTTTATATAAAAATTAAAAACTGTATAGGTTTTCCCCCCGCCCCAGCTAAAATCTACAGGACTATTTTATACTCTAACCGTAGTCTAAAAAGTCATACAACCGGCTCTATTCTGTTATTGTCTTTACTCTTGACCAGCTTTAATCATTTTTTTGTAGTAATTTTTTAAATTTTTATTTTATACACTTTACAGCCTTCCAAGTTAATGGAAAAAAACAAAACAAAAGTTATACTGGCTTTTTCTCTCTCACACATCTTTATTTTAAAATAACATCCAGTGGTTTTATTATTGGTAAAAACGTTTTTTTCTCTCTACACAGCTCCCATTTTATTTACAGTTTTAAATTTAAATTTTGTGTATATTTTTTATTTTATTATTCCCTGCCCTCACCCCGAGTTTTAACATTTCATTTTAAACCTTTTGCAGCTTTGAATAGTTGCAGAAGCAGCTTTTTAAAAACGCAACAGTTCTTCTCTCTCACTTGAAATCTTTTGATTAAAATACATAAAATGCCCTGGGGCCCCCTCCCCCAGATTTCACTCCCCCCAAAATAATCTCACTTCATTGAATTCCCTCTCCCGCCCCAGGAGAGGACGGAAGTTTAATACAAAAGAGAACCCTCCTCAGCTGAGCCAGGCAGCTGTGGCATGGGAGTGCAGGTCAGGAGTTTGTTTCTGCTTCTTTCCTCACAACTGTGCCAGTCCCTGTGCCATCCCCGAGGGGGTGGGGGTGTCATGCCTTTGTGCGTTAAGAGATGTCAAACGATACAGTTTAATGGAGAGGGGCGGCGAGCGCAGGACCTCCAGCCCCATCTGGTTTACAGCAGTCTTAGAAGGTCCCTCCCGGATGAGCATTCAACCATCAGCAATAGGGTGCTGTGGCAGGGGGAGAAGTGGGGCCTGGTTTGTAAAGCCACCACTCCCCTCCCCTCCCCGGGGAGCCCACGCGTGGCAGGAGGCTCCTGGACCCTGTCACGTACGGGGTTTCTATTTAACAATGGAGACAAGAGCAGGGAGGATGTTTGCTCCCCCCGGTTGAGTTATGGAACATGTCCCCCCCGCCCTCCCCCCGAGATCTCCTCTACCCCACAGTCCAAAATCTCGGCCAAGCAGAGCACAGGAGAGCGCCCCCCCAAGGTTCTACTATCTACAAGCTAAGGTATAAATAGATAAATACCCCCCATACCATGCCGACATTACAGACACAGACAGCCTCCTCAGGCCAGCCTAGAGCAGCAGTTCTGGTAGTGAAAGGGGAGCTGGGTAGTGGGGGAGCAGAGTGGCTCAGGCAGGGCCCCCTGCCCCACCCCCAGACTCAGGAGTATGGCAGCAGCAGCAAACTCAGCCTGAAGCGAGGCTCCCCCTGGAGCTCAGCTCCTCCAAACCCAAACGCCTGGTCTCCCCGCCACGCTGTGCTGTGCTGGGAAGGTGGGTGGAAGCAAGGCCAGGGTCTTGGCACATTCTAGTTAAAGCCCCAAACCTCCACCGCTCCTGGGCCCTGCCCCTCGGCTGGCAGCAGGGTGCCCAGCTTTGTGCAGGGTGGGGGAGTTGCCAGGAACACTCCTGTGCACCCAACTGGGCGGGGCCCACAGGTGGGGGGAGGGAATCCTGGGATATTTTATGGTCTCTCCTTCCAGGCAGAACCAGGTCAGAGCTCAAGGCTACAATCTCCCTTGGCCCCAGGCTCCGCCCACTGTCACTCCTTGGGCTCCCCAGGCTCCGCCCACTGCCACTAGTTCTCATTGGGAACTAGGAAGGTTGCGCGTGGTCAGGCTCAGAGGGAGGGTCACATTGAAAACAGCAGAATCTAACACTTAAAATGAGGTAGGTTTGGGTGCAGAGGCTCCTTGTGTCCATCGGGGGTGGGGTGGGGGGAGCCCTTTTCTGCACGCGGCTCTCCCCAGCTCTGCTCCGGCAGCTGGTGCCTCCTTCACATGCTCACGGTGCTTTCGTTGACAGAACAAGAAATAAACCGAAGCCCAAGCGAGCTCTGGCTGTCTCCAGAGAGCCGGGCTGGGAGGTTTGGGATTGTCAAGCTCAAGGAGTCTCTTTGTTACCTTGGTAAGTTAGCGAGCAAATATTATTCAATTTTTTTTTTTTTTTTTTTAAAAACAAACAGACTGGATCTGAGCTCCCCGTGGGTCCGATACCTCGGCCGCCCCGCCCCGGACTCCGAGCTGGAGCACCCCGATCGCCCCGCATCCGTCCAGTTATTTACAATGAGCAAGGTGGACAGAGCAGGTTTTGTTGGTGCCACAGGCCCTGCCCTCCTCGCAAAACAAAACAAAGAAAACCCTGAGTTGCCAGTTCATCAGTTCCACTCATGGCGCGGCGGCCACCCACTCGGGGAGAGCAGCGCCCGGCCAGCAGAGGCCCAGGGCCGAGGCGCGCAGGGCTGGAGTGGCTAGGGAGAGAACCGAGGTCCCTGGTCTTTTCAGTACGCCCTCCCTGTGGAAGTTAGGTGGACAGCATCCGATGGGTGTGAGCGAGGACCGGCGCCCCCTGGAGCCACCTCGCCTTTGGAACTGAAAGTGGCCCCGGCTGACCCACCTGCACCAACCTCGCTTCCTGGGTTCCAGATGGGGCCGTTTCCCCTACGCCATCTCTGCTTCCCCCGCCCCCAGCATGGCAAAGGGGGAGGAGAACCCGCAGCAGAGGCCTCCTTGCAGCAGGGGCTGCCTGCGACTGGTGACCCCGTGGCGGCTAGTTCATCCATTTCCTGCAGTTCCAGGCTCCGCAGTGGCAGGGGATCTTATGCTGATCGTCTTCAAAGTCAAACTGGTAGTCGTAGGTCAGCTGGGGGCGAGAGGGGCAGAGTCACACAGCCAGCAATGCCCTGGCAGTCACGCCACCAGCTGCCGAGCCACATCACCCCTGCAGCCCCCCTCCTAGCACATCTGCGGAGCCCAGGGTAGCCCTGCCCCCTCCTGGCCCGCCCAGACTCTGCTTTGATTGCAGGTCCGGCGCGCTCCCCAATGCTCTGAACAGCTCAGGGGCGAGCCTGTGAGGCTGGCACGCGGTGGGGGGGCAGATCCTAGTTCTGTTCAGAGGAACAGCAGGAGGGTGCTGCTGGGGGCCGGGCAGGGGGACCTGTGGGGCAGGGGCTGAGCCAGGAGGCAGCACTAACCACACACCAGGAGCCCCTAGGCCAGGCCGGGAGACACCCTGTCCCCTACCTCCTCCCCTTTGGGAATCCGGCGGCTGGAGATGATGATAATCTTATCTTCCTTGTCGAAGGTCACGACCTCAGCCACACAGTTCGGGGCGCACGAGTGGTTAATGTACCTGGCAGGAAGGCAGAGAGGAGGGTGTCAGAGTGGGGATGTGGGGACAAGGGGCAAGCCCAGGTCAGGGGTCAGGCCCTGCGTTCCCCTCCCCCCGCAGCAGGCACAGCTTGGGGGACTTGCTACGTTGAATCAATGCCAGAGACCCATCGCGCAGCTTGGGAGGGGAGAAAGGGGGCCTGACAGAGTGGGGGGGCTGGAGCCAGGACTCCTGGGTTCTCTTCCCAGCTCTGCCACTGCCAGATCCCTTCCTCACTCTACCTGGGTTTCCAAGTTCCCCATAGCCCCCGGCTCATGGGGCTGACGTGGGTTCACAGGGCGGGATGTGAGTGCGCTCACCCAACGGCGCAGGTACCCCTGCGCGCTGGCCTTTCAACCGGAGATCGCGCCAGACTTGAACCCAGCACCTTCCAGATTGTAGGCGAGTGCCATAAGCCCTCAGCCACTCCCGTCCGCACAGCAGGAGGCTGGGAGTGTGTGTGTGTGTGTGGGGGGGGGGGGGGGGGG